ATCCCCACATACTGAGCACCTACTACGTGCCAGGCACCGGGCTGGGGGCTTCATCAGGTAACAGTACTAGTCCCCACATAATGAGCACCTACTACGTGCCAGGCACCGGGCTGGGGACTTTATCAGGTAACAGTACTAGTCCCCACATAATGAGCACCTACTATGTGCCAGGCACCAGGCTGGGGGCTTCATCAGGTAACAGTACTAGTCCCCACATAATGAGCACCTACTACATGCCAGGCAGCGGGCTGGGGACTTTATCACAAAACAGTACTAGTCCCCACATACTAAGCACCTACTATGTGCCAGGCACCAGGCTGGGGGCTTCAGCAGATAACAGTACTAGTCCCCACATACTAAGCACCTACTACGTGGCAGGCACCGGGCTGGGGGCTTCATTGGGTAACAGTACTAGTCCCCACATAATGAGTACCTACTACGTGCCAGGCACCGGGCTGGGGGCTTCATCAGATAACAGGACTAGTCCCCACATACTAAGCACCTACTACGTGCCAGGCACCGGGCTGGGGACTTCATCAGATGACAGTACTAGTCCCCACATACTGAGCACCTACTATGTGCCAGGCACTGGGCTCGGGACTTTATCAGATAACAGTATTAGTCCCCACATAATGAGTACCTACTACGTGCCAAGCACTGGGCTGGAGGCTTTACTGAAAAGCACAGCAAGAGTTCCTAGCTACTAAATACCTACGATGTATAAGGCACTGTATTCCGGGCCTTGTAGAACATGAATAGTTCTCACTTCTTAAGCACCTACTGTGTGCCAAGTGCTGTGCTAAGGGCCTTATACATAAATCGGAGCAGTTTTTCCTTCTCGAGCACCTTCTGTGTGCACACAGTGTCAAAGGTTCTGCAGGTAACAACTTCACGTTTTGAGCAGAACCTGCAGACCCCAAACCCCATGCTAGGTCCTGTCAGACTGACAACGATTCCTATCTGAGCATATGCGCCCAGAGCAAGGCCAGCCTCTTTGAAGAAAATGCCACTTATCGAGCACTTACTGTATGCCAGGCATTCTCCAGGGGCTTCACGGAACAACGATCATAGGCCCCGTGTCTGGGGTTCCTACTGTGCAGGGGACACCAGGGTAAGCTTGTTGCAAATGACTAGCAGCTTCCATCTGGTGAGTGCCAATTAGGGGCCTCGCACCACGCCGATCTGTGTTTAGGTTTAAGAGAGTACTTATGAAGCACCTATTGTGTGCCAGGCAGCGTGCTAAGGGCTTTGCTAAGTAACAGTGATAGTTCCCACATATTAAGCACCTACTGTGTGTGTTACAGGCTTTCTGGAATAACACTAAGTCCCCACCTGTGGCGTATCTGCTACGAGACTGGGCTTAAGGCTGTTACTGACGTTAGACCTCACGGTTCTTGCGTCTTCTGGACACCGCACACCCTAAGCCCTTTATGCTCAAAATGTGCCCCCCTGATTAGCCATTCAATTCTCAAGACACTAAGTGGCTGGAGCTATCACCCCTCCAGCCTCAGGCCATGCTCCAGGTGGGGGAAACGGGTGTCAAAGCCCATCTGCCTGCTTTTCTATAATCACTTTTTTAACTACTGGCTGCCAGACCCCACCTACCCGGGGTGCCTTTCACAGATCACCTCCCACTTTACAGATGAGCAAACTGAGGCCCCAAACAAGCAGGCTGCCTTCCCAAGGGCATGTGGCGAGAGCCGGTATTTGAACCGGGGCTCAGCTGTTGTCCAGGGGCTGTCTTGACTTGAGGACGGGGATTCGGACCTCAGCCTGTGTCCTTATCCACTCAGGCCAGTTGAGGACGGCTGGAGCCACCCTACCTCAACTGCCCGTGACTCCAGAATTCTCCTTGCCTAGAGGGAGGTCCAGAGAGGTCACTGGCTTTGCTTCACGGCAAGGCATATAGAACCCTACCATCATGGCAACCCTATTTGTTCACTGACCACGTGTTTACAGGGTACTCGTGACGTGCACACCCCGTGGTGGGGCTACCCAGTGATGAGAGACGTCCTCAAAGACATCAGGCTACGAGACGTCTCAGACGCCACTCCAGAGTCAACTAAAATGACCCTCCGGGCCCACTTAAAGTGAAATACCGGGGTTCCTTCCTCTGATATCAGATACTTGGGGCCCTCTCCCCCATTTCTTGACCAGCCACCCCAACCAAAAGTGCCTGGGGGAATCAGGCAGGAGTGGAAAAACCAACCAAGGGATGTGCCGGAAGGAATGGATTCGCTGAGAAAGGGGGGGAGGAAAAATAAAACCAAAACCATAACAAAATAAGAAACAACGGTGATGGTGATGATGATGAGAAAAACCATAATAAAAGAAAGAAAGACGCCTTCCAGAAAAAACTCCCAGTCTGGTTACCTACCTTCCGCTCTTCAACTGCTAACTTATAAGACTTTCTTACGAGGGAGGGAGTGGCGGAGTGCCGAGCTACAAGGCCAGACCGAGCTCTGGGTGGGTCTCCGGACGCAAGCAGGCCCCCAGTGTGGGCACGCTGTGGTTCCGGACTGGCGCCGACGAGGCGGGAAGGTGAGACGGTGTGGGGAGACCCACGGCTGAGCGGTCTGGCCTCCACCTACCCTTGAGTTCAGCCTAAGAAGCCCGCAGTCCCCGGGGGGGACATGCCTGGCCCTGAGTCTCGCTGTCAGCTCTCTCGGGCCCCACCCGCCTCGGGGGGAGAAGTGGGGAGCCCCTTCTCCCCCGCTCCCTGTCCTGGGCCGCCCCAGAGTTTCGCGTGGCTGGGCCAAAGCCGCTTTCCTGACGACCAGGGAGGCCGCCTCCTTCACAATCCGGCCCAACCTGCGTGACGTTTTGGGGGGGCGGGGGTGACAGACCCACAGACAGGCTCCGGTGGGAGGTAGCTCCCAGGCCCCCATTTCCGGGGCAGGCGTGGCTCTCGGCTGTGGGGTGGAAAATTTGGGGGGGGGGGGACCGTGGACCCTGTGCAGCCCAGAGCTGCTGGGGTATGCGGGGCACAGGCCGGGGGGGCACGCAGGGTGGGCCGTTTTTGTGAACCTGCTTGAGACCAGCGCGTACTCACCTTCGTGGCACCTGTGCCGGTCTCTCACGTGGCCGCCCAAGCCACAGGACACCCTCACTGATCGCCTCACGCACAAACACGCCCAGACGCCTGTGAGCTGCGGAGCTCTCGGCTCGGCACGCGGGAGGGGGGAGGAGGGAAGGGGGCCGGGGAGGGGAGGGGGGCAGGGGTGCCGCGTCTCCGAGGCCCCTGGTCCGCAGCGGCTCGGACCCCCAGGCCCAAGCTGCCGTCACCCGCGACTGACCCGTGACCCCCTGTGTGCACACACCCGGGGGAGGGGACTGGAAGGTCTGGACACCGAGGCTGCTTCCGGAACAAGGCCTGGGGTGGTGCTCTGCGACTGACTGAGAAGGGGGAGGGGAGGGGAGGAGGGCCACTGCGGCGGAGGCCACGGCGGGCAAGGGTGAGCGCGGAGGAGGGGCAGAGGGAGAAGGGGAGGCAGACGGACAGCGGGATCTGGGGCCTGTCCAGGCCCTGAGCTCCGAGCAGGCCAGGAGGGCGGAGGCAGGGACCCCAGCGGGGCCCAGAGCCAGCTGCCGGCTGCAGAGTTCTGGCCAAAAGGCGACCACGGCAAAGAGCTCCAGGGACTCAAGAGCTCCTGGAGCCCGCACCCCCTGCCCTCCTGCTCCTGCCCCTGGCAATGGGGGGCCTGGTCTGGGGGGCAGGGCCATCTGGGGAGGCGTCTGGTCTCTGTGCGCCGGGCTCCCCGGGAACGACGGGGCGTGGGCGGGGACAGCCTCACACGGCCCTCCAGAGCACAGTGCGGCCGTTCCGGGGGCCCCAGGCGCAGGGCAGGAGGAGGAGAGAGAGGTGCAGTGGGCAGCGGCCCCCGACCTAGGGGTGAGCCTCGTCCCCCAGGGCGACGGACACAGCGGGGCCTGCGGCAACCGCCGGCGCCGCGTGGGGGCGCACGCGCGAGGCCAGGCGCCCCCCCCACCCGCTGCGGCGTCCCGGCCAAGGTCAGCGTGTGCGGGTGGGGGCGGGGCCCCGCAGAGAAGGGCGGGGTCCGCGAGACACCTACTGGACTGGAGTGTGCGCTGTCGCACCACGGAGGTGAAGGCGCCCAGACCCTGCGGAGACCGCGCTGCCAGGCGGAAGGCGTACTCCGTGTTGGGCTTGAGGTCATCCACCACGAACGCTGTGGCCGGGTCGAAGGTCCTCCCCACCTGGGGGCAGTGGCGGGTGGAGACAAAGAGACAGAGACGCGGAGATTGTGAAAGAGACACAAGGCGAGCAGAGACCGAGGAACGGAGACATCGATGAATCAGAGAGCAGAGCAGAAAGTAGGGCAGAGGGAAGGAGGAAGAGGGACGCGGCGGCATCCAAGGAGGCGGGGGGCGGGAGGCGGGGGCGAGAGCGGAGGAAGAGAGACATCGAGTCAGCGAGACCCGAGGGCGCCCCGCCCGGCCCCCTCCCGCCGGTGCCCAGTACCTCTCTGCCGTGGTCGCCTTCCCGGAACAGGAGCTCGTATTTGATGATGCTCTCCTGCCGTGGGGGGCTCCAGGACAGCCCGATGCTCGTCTCCGACTTGGCCTCCGCCCTGAAGTTCATGGGCTGGCCGGGCACTGCAGGGAGGGGAGAGGGGAGGAGGGGAAACGGGGGGGGGGGGTTGTGACTGGGGAAGGGTCCACTCCATAGGGTGCCCAACCCGCCAGGTGTCCCCAGGCTCCCAAAAAGGGCCCCGTGATGCTCAGCACCGCCTCGAAGGAAAGGCTGCTCTCGATCGTGTTCTGGATGCTTCTGGAATGTTCTCCACTGTTACTTCTCTTATTTTCCCAGGAGCTCCCTAACTGACAATTTCAATTTCCCCACCCTCTCTGCTTCCAGTGGGGGAAAAAAAACCCTCAAACACAAAAACAAAACCGAACCAAAAAAACCCTCCTCTTCAAATCACGCCGGTGCTCTCTCTGCTTCCCCTACATTAAATGGCAGAGAAATCGTGGGGACGTTTCGAAACACGGCCCCTCGTCCTGTGTCCGCTCTGTAACGGCAGTTCCAATGCTCCCGTCCCTGCACTTGCACAGCTGCTGGGTCTTTCTGGACTTGAGGTCCTGAAACCTGAGCCCGTAAGGAAAGGACCAGAAACCCGCGGACACCTGGATGCCCCACCCCCACCCTGCCCGGTGGCCTGGGCGGGCGGGCCGCCAGCCGCTGCCTTTGAGCTCATGCGTTTCCCCTTTACAGTTGCAAGCTCTCCGAGGAGAACGGAGAACGGTAGTTCTCCAACTCAGACACGGCCGCCGGGACCTGTCTGGATGTCCGATCACAGCCCCGGGGCCTCGCCAAATCCAATTTCCCGAGAGGAGAGAGAAACGGGGGCTTTCTGGGACGACG